ACGCCGTGAAGGCCGACAAGTAGTACATGATCAAAATGAACGTTTTCCCATAGGAATTTGACGATTTTCGGCGCTTCGGCCCTTCTGAGGACTGCTCTTGGAGGCCTCTTGGGCCGTCTCGGAGGCATCTAGGCTCGTCTTGGGGGCATCTTGGGCGTCTGGGAGCGCTCGTTTGGCGCCTCGGAGCCCTCGTGAGCCGTCTTGGAGGAGTCTTGGGGCCTTCTTGGCCCGTCTTGATCCCCTTTTGGGCCCAAAAGAGCTCCGTGACGCGCTCGTGGTGGGCCCGGGGGGGGGGGGGTCAAATCTCCGGTTTTGGGTCCCAGGGGGGGTTAGGGGGGGGGAACTATCTCACACGCCTAGAGACCCACAAGGGGTCGGCGGACTTGCAAAATCAGGGCCCCGGGGGGCCTCTCTGGGTCTCCGGGGGCTCGCAAAGTCGGGGCCCCCAGGGGCCTCGGGGGACTTGCAGAATCGGCGCCCCGGGGGGCCTCGGGGCCGAACGGCCTCGAGACTTGCGAAATCAGGGCCTTGGAGACCTCCGGTTCGTGGCGGTTCCATCCGGGTCGGCCCGGTTCGGTTCGAAATCGATTCCGGTTCGGTTCGGTTCGGTTCAAAATTGGATCGTTCGGTTCCGGTCCGGTTCGGTTTTTGTTGATAAAAAGTGCGGTTCGCGCCAGTTCGGTTCGGCCCGGTTCGGTTCGGCCGAATCGGTTCGGTGTTTTGAGCCTTCCTCAAAGTTATTGGATTTCCGACTTCCTCACAGCCTGGCAGACAGCCGCCGGTTGCGCTCACATGATGTCTACATCAGCACCCGTAATTCGCAGTTTTGGTCGAAGTCGACTTGCTCGAAGCAGGGTTCATTTTCTGCCTCCCTCCTTACATCCTCGCGCTTTGCCCTTCGCGCGACCATGGCCTTCATGGCGAGAGTGTTTTCGCTCGCGGGCATGTTGACTACAGTGTTCGCGCAGCAGCTATCGGACTACAAAGAGGTTACACCAGCGTCAGAGTCAGGAGGCGCAGCGTCAAATCCCTTGTGCAAGGACATGGCTCCAGCCGGCGAGTGGCGTGATGTGACGGAGGCCGAGTGTCGGCAATATGCCACGCTCGTGAACCAAGAGTTTAAAGGGCCAGAGCATAGCTCAGGCCAAAGCACCGAGGTCCCGCACGGGTGCTCCACATCCGACACTGACCCTACCGGAATCCACTGGAAGACAACTGACCAACCTGGATCAACCGAAAGCATGGAGTACCACTACATCTGCATGAAGGCCACCTGCGAGACCGTGAGCTGCCTTGAGAGGTTCAGGTATTGGTGCGAGGAGAGCAAGAAGGACTTCGGCTCCAACGACAACAACGCGGCGGCCGCGAACTCTCCGAAGGACATGCTCGTCTCCGAGTGCTCCCAGTGCACCGGCGCCGACAACACCGACACCTGCCCAACGAGGCTTCGCTTGTTCGACGCCGCTCCGGAGGCGGGGCCGACCTCGGAGCTCGGCAAGACGTCCGTGGCGGTGTCAGTGCCGCTCGGACTGGCGTTCGCACTTGTCGCTCTGGGTGCGCTCGTCGGTGTCTCCCGCAGCCGCGCATCCAACCAGCCAGTGCGCGTGGAGGACACGCAAGACTTGCTGCGCGAATGAACGAGTACGCCTGTGGCAGCAGCTCACGACCATAGGACTCAGGGCCATCGTCGAGTCCTGCATGCTCTTCTGAAGCCTCTCCGCCTGACATTCTACTGCGGGCGGAAGTAGGACCTGATATTGCGGAAAGAGACCTGACCTGACCTGCGGGTCAGTTGGACCTGACATTCGCAATCGCTTTGCACCAGCTCAGCGATCAAAGTTGCGTACCCACGGGATCCTGGGGGCACCCCCCATATCATCTTGAGTTTGAAGCTTCGCTTGGCCCGAGTCGCGACAAGCTTCGCTCCATTTTGTATGCTTGCTAACTTCAGCCTTCTCATCGTCATCCCTCTTTTCCTTCCCCTCGTGCTCTTCTCCTCCTTCTCCTGCTTCGCGTTTTCCATTGTTTTGACTCGCGACAGCCTGCGAGAGGCGGCGTGCCTGCGAGTGTTAGTATTATTGTCGTTTGACGATTTTACCTAACAGCGAAGACTGTTTTTTTTCTAGCGGTCTCAAAAGAGAGCATCATGACTCCCCAGGGGGGTCTGGGCAGATGCCGGACGGGTGCCGCGGAAATCCTGGGACTGCCGCGGAAATCCGGGGATTTGTTTTAAGCCAACGGTAACGCACTCCGTCGTCCAGAACTCCATTCTTGGGCATGATTTTGCATGCCCGGAGCCAGCTGTAGGCCACTTCGTGGTCTTCGAGTTCCCAGAACTCCATTTTCGGGCATGATTTTGAATGCCCGGAGCCAACTGTAGGCCACTTCGTGGTCTTCGAGTTCCCAAAACTCCATTCCTGGGCATGATTTTGAATGCCCGGAGCTAGCGGTAGGCCACTTCGTGTTCTTCGAGTTCCCAAAACTCCATTCCTGGGAATGATTTTGAATGCCCGGAGCCAACTGTAGGCCAATTCGTGTTCTTCGAGGTCCCAGAACCCCATTCTCGGGCCACATTTTGAATGCTGAGGCAGGCTGAGGCTGAGGCTGAGGCAGGCTGAGGCTGAGGCAGGCTGAGGCCGAGGCCGAGGCCGAAGGCAGACTGAGGCTGAGGCTGAAGCAGGCTGAGGCTGAGGCTGAGGCAGGCTGAGGCAGGCTGAGGCAGGCTGATGCTGAGGCAGGCTGAGGCTGAGGCTGAGGCTGATGCAGTCTGAGGCTGAGGCAGGCTGAGGCTGAGGCCGAGGCTGAAGGCAGACTGGGGCTGAGGCTGAAGCAGGCTGAGGCGAGGCTGAGGCAGGCTGAGGCTGAGGCTGAGGCAGGCTGATGGCTGAGGCAAGCTTAGGCTGAGGCTGAGGCTGATACAGGCTGAGGCTGGGGCAGGCTGAGGCTGAGGCCGAGGCCGAAGGCAGGCTGAGGCTGAGGCTGAAGGCAGGCTGAGGCTGAGGCTGAGGCAGGCTGAGGCTGAGGCTGAGGCAGGCTGATGCTGAGGCAGGCTGAGGCTGAGGCTGAGGCAGGCTGCAGGCTGAGGCTGAGGCCGAGGCTGAGGCATATTGAGGCTGAGGCTGCAGGCTGAGGCTGAGGCTGAGGAGGCTGAGGCTGAGGCTGCTGAGGCTGATGCTGCAGGCTGAGGTTGAGGCTGAAGGCAAACTGGGGCTGAGGCTGAAGCAGGCTGAGGCCGAGGCTGAGGCAGGTTGAGGCTGAGGCTGGGGCAGGCTGATGCTGAGGCAGGCTGAAGCTGAGGCTGAGGCTGATGCAGGCTGAGGCTGAGGCAGGCTGAGGCTGAGGCCGAGGCTGAAGGCAGAGGCTGAGGCTGAGGCTGAAGGCAGGCTGAGGCTGAGGCAGGCTGAGGCTGAGGCTGAGGCTGAGGCAGGCTGAGGCTGAGGCTGAGGCTGATGCAGGCTGAGGCTGAGGCAGGCTGAGGCTGAGGCCGAGGCTGCAGGCAGGCTGAGGCTGAGGCTGAAGCAGGCTGAGGCTGAGGCTGAGGCAGGCTGAGGCTGAGGCTGAGGCAGGCTGGCTGAGGCAGGCTGAGGCTGAGGCTGAGGCTGCAGGCTGAGGCTGCTGAGGCTGAGGCTGCAGGCTGAGGCAGGCTGAGGCTGAGGCTGAGGCTGATGCAGGCTGAGGCTGAGGCAGGCTGAGGCTGAGGCCGAGGCTGAAGGCAGAGCTGAGGCAGGCTGAGGCTGAGGCTGAGGCAGGCTGAGGCTGAGGCAGGCTGAGGCTGAGGCTGAGGCAGGCTGAGGCTGAGGCTGTGACTGCGACTGCCGTTGCCGCTGCGACTGTCATCGCGAATGCGACTACGACTGCGAGAACAACAGAATTCTACAACTGGATTCTCATCTGAATCTTAAGGGGAATGCTTCCAGATATGCTCCTACACATCGCTGTTAGGTTGCTTTGCCGGGATAATCTGACGTAATCGTCGGGAGAGTTTAGGAGGCAACAACACCTGATGTCTGCATCGACAGCGTGTCACCACCCACCAATCCTGCCCAACCCAACCCGCAGGTCCTCTTCCTCAATTCCCAGTGGTAGGGGGGCGGGGAACATTTACAAGCACACAGCTGAAGCTCGTCCCCACCCCAATGGGTTGGGTTGGATGGTATTCGGGTTGGTTTGGGGTTGTCCGGTAGGTGGTCAGCACGCCCAGCCGAGAGAAAGACGCCGAGGAGGAGGAAGCAGGAGCAGTAGCACAGCGATGGGGGTCGAAGAGCAACCAACATTTGCCATCGCTCGGACGTGTGCATTTGTTCTCGGCGCGGACCATCGAGGAGCATCCTTGATCATTTGGCGAAACACCACGCACAACACCGAAACAAGCACATGGAATGGACGTCCGAGCGATGGCCAGAAAAGGGCACACGCAAAACCTTACGAAGGACCGTGCGGTCTTTTTGGAATCGCGCCCGACCCCCGCGTCGGCGCCTCTTGGTGCCACCCCTGGCGCGCTCCCGCGGCCCCGTGGATGTGGGATGTTCTTTTGCAAGTGCCTTCGCGGAGAGTGTGCATGCGACGGCGCATCTGCGGGATCGCGCCCCAGAATCGGGGGTGGACAGAACCCGCAACAGTGACACGTCGATTAGTGAATTGTCCGTTTTCGGTTCTCGACAGGGCGCCGTGGCCGTTATTTTTCAGGCTTGCGCCCGCCAGGTTTGGGCCTCCAGTCGTTTTCATTCAACCACGTTTTACTAAGGGGGGGTTGTTTATCCCCGACAGAACCCAGGAAGGGAGGACGCGTAGATTGACACGTGGCGGCATGCTCGCGAATTCGTCCACGTTTCCGTCCGACGCTCTCTGGCGCAAGATCCTGGAGAGATTAGGAGACGACGAAACATAACGTCTGGACTCTGGGGCGCATCTGCGGGATCGCGCCCCAGAGTCCAGCAAGGGAGGACGCGGACATGGACACGTGTGTCGTTCGTGCAGATGTGTGCGCCTGGCCTCTGCAGGACGGCCTCTCCGAGTCGATGTTCCCGCCGAGGATTCCGGTCGAGGGGCTGGAGCTCACGAGGTGCTTGCCTCGGTTGCCCCGAGAGACCTTTGTAAAGCCCAAGACTTATCGACGACGTTGGGACAAGCCTCTCTCAGAGTTCCCTCGTCATAGGTCCATTCTGTAGGGGTATATCTTTATCGCAGGGGGTGGTTCATCGAGAGACAACCGTCCGAATAATTCAAACGAGGAGGGTTCTCATTTCCGCAGGGTCCAACAAGGGGAGGGGGGATTCCTTACATGGACCACGGAACATGCAATCAAGCAGCAGTTGTACATAAGTTATACTTGATAGTGTTCGGGCACCCCTTATTCTCATGATAGTTACAGAATATTGAGTCGTGCCAGTCGTTCCAGATCACCACTCCTTCTGGGACTCCAACGCCGCGAGTTGACGCCATATTTTTGTGTAATGGCAATGCTAAGTCGCACTAGATATCCATTCCTGGGACTTCACCACCAGGACTTAAAGTGTTGTTTGTGTCCTGGCAATCCTGCACCGTGCCAGACCAAAAAAATCCTGGGACTTCAACGCCGCGAATCGACGTGACTGTTATGTCCTATCAATACTGAATCGCCCTCAGACTCCAGTCCTGGGAGTTCAACCCCACGTATTAACGTAACTGCCGTGTCCTGACAGTCCTGAGTCGCTTTAGAGAACCATTCCTCGAAGTTCGACCCTACGAATCCTTAAAAGACGGCTGCGAGCTTTTAACACGAAGGTCCGCGGCGCTGAGGCGACTGCCATATTTTTGAACGGCCCGCCCTCCATCCGTAGAAGTGCTGCAGCTTTTGAAGATGGTTGTGCGCGGCGCTACGTCCGGATTAGATGTGTTTGGTGGTTTCATGGTGTTGTCGTGCTTACATGTGTGCTTGCATTTGAGGGTGTGTTGGGGCGTGCTTATGCGTCCAGCACGACACGCAATTAGATGACGATGTTCGCGTATACGGAACCACGGGACACCCGCAGGACCACCGCGGGACAACCCATGGGACAACCCGCGGGACCACCACGGGACAACCCACGGGGCAGCCCCTGGGACAACCGTGGGACCACCCACGGGACAGCCACGGGACACCCTACATGGCCACTTCGAGACAGGGTTTGGGGGCCCGCCACCGCCTGGCTCAAATCACGAGGCCGACGCCGGGCTCTACCGACGATGCTTGCGACTCCGTCCCACACCGCGCTGTTTGCCAACGCACCCATGGGCGGCTCGCGCGCGGGTGCGTCGCGTTCACAGTCACAGCCTCAGCTGGAACAGTCAGCCACTGCCAACCCGCTTAGGCACGCGATCCCGCTGCGATCTTCGATCATCGCGGCCCGTTTCCGCCTCAGTAGATGCCCGTGACCGGCCCCGCCAGCTTGCCCGATCGCGCGGCGATGTTCCGTAATGGCAGTTATTCAGTATGTTCGTTCTTGCGACGACGTCGCAGATTCTGATAGTGCCGCGGAGACTCAGATCTGCAAACCAACGGCAAGACGCCCTTGCAGGTTGCCGCCATCATGGGCCGCGACAAGTCTACCATCTGCCGCCGCTTCCGCCCTTCCACAGGCGGCGCCCAACTGGGGGCCCAGCCAAGATCACGGAAGAGATGGTCGACAAGCTTGTGTGCACCATTGAGCAGATGACCAAGGTTGCTGATTCTAAGTACCCAGTGACCTTGAACATGGCCATGACCGCCTTGAAGATGAAGTGCTGCGAGAGGACAGCGCGGCGGGCGCTGCATGCTCGCGGGGTGCGCTTTCACCCGATGCGAGAGAAGCCGGTTCCCGGCTTATCATGCCAGGGACTCCAGGTAGGATGCGTTGTTTCTTGGTTCCGTTGCGGGTCCAGATTAGTGTTCAGTGCCCATGGTCAGGTTTAGCGATCGAATGTCTCGGCGTTTCTGTGTCTCGCCCCTCAGCGTGCGTGGCCAATTAAGGTGCGCGCCGATGCGGACGTGAAGGACCGCCTCGCTTTCGCGAAGGCGCACTCTTCGAAGCCGGCGTCCTACTGGGCGAGCAAGATCCACGCCTACATGGACAATGTGTGCTTCCCGACGTTCCCCACCGCGAGTGCGCGGGTGTACGCGGCGAAGCGCGCCGCCCGCGGCTCCTACAGGTCGAAGGGCAGCGGGCTTGCCAAGGGCCACGTCAAACCGAGAAATGGCAACATGTCTTCCTTCGGCAAGAACGTGAACGTCGCCGTGGCCCTCTCCGCAAAGAAGGTGCTCACGTGCCACGTCGTGGACGGGCGCTGGAACGCTGGGGCGGCGGCGCGGATGTACCGGGAGGGTTTGGCCCCGGCGTTGCGCAAGGCCTGCCCGAAGCAGCAGTCGTTCCTCATCTTGGAGGACAACGACCCTACGGGTTACAAGGCCAAGATCAGCATCGAGGCGAAGGCTCGCCTTCGATTGTCGAATTGGCGGCCCCGTGGCGGGAGTGCTCCCCGCGGAGCCGCAGGCCCGACGGGCCCGCGGCTTCGCGGGCGCGCGCTTGGGGCGGCGGGCGGGTGGGGGGCCGGGGGGGGCCATTGGGCGAGCGCGGGGCGATTTCAGGCCAAGGAGAAGTGAAGTGCCTGAAGTTCCCCAAGCGCAGCCCGGACCTCAACCCGCTTGACTACGGCTTCTGGCCCATTGTCAATAAGCGCTTGAGGGCCCAGGAGCCCAAGTTCCCCCCGTCGAAGAGGGAGAGCCGGGCCGCCTTCATCCAGCGCCTGAAGCGCACCATCATGCGGACCCCGTCGGCGACCCTGGAGCCGCTCGTGAAATCGACGAAGCGGCGCTGCGGCGCGTTGCGGACCGCGAAGGGCGCCGACTTTGAGGAGTGAGGCCTAGCGCGCTTCCCCCCCCGTCGTCGCCTCCGACGGCGCGGAACTGGTATAACTGGGTAGAACTGGCCATAGAGCTGGTCATAGAACTGGCCCATTAGAAACAGGGGCCGGCCTAGAACTGGTCGCGTTTAGAAGAAGAGTTAGTGATCTGCTTTAAGTTTTCTGTAATTGGGCCGACCAGTTCTAGGCCTGACCCTTTTTTTATGGACAAGTTCTATGGCCAGTTCTATCACCAGTTCTATCAGTTCTATCCAGTTCTATCTAGCGGTGCCAGCCTCCGCCCGCTCCACGTCGGGGCATGGGGGCGCGGGGCGCGAGTTTTTCCAACGGCAGCGCAGATCTCGGTCGCGCTCGGGCAGGATCCTTTTACCAGGCCACGTCGGCCTGCCGACCTCGCGACAGACTAGGAAAACGCTATACCTAGCCAAGTTTTTTTTGTTGGTTTCCCCTTCCCCCTTATTCTCCCCCCCTAACTCCCCACGGGCAATCCTCGCCGTTCGCCCCCCTCCCCCTCTGCCTGGGAGTCCGAGTTACTTGTCGCAGGTGGCAGCCCTGGCACGTCCCATCAGGAACAGCGCCAAGCACCGACATCACCATCAACATCATCAACATCAACATCATCAACATCAACATCGTCGACATCCTCAACATCACCAACATCATCGACATCGCCAACATCACCGACATCACCAACATCATAAGCACCAACAACGACACCATCAACATCTCTAACAGCACCAACATCATCAGCACCGTCAGCATCGTCAACATCATTATCATCAACATCCTCATCAACACCATCAATACCACCAACACCATCAACATCGTCAACATCGCCAACGTCACCAACGTCGTCAGCATCATCAACATACCCAACACATTCGTCAACATAGCACAAATCAAAGGCATACTAACCGCGGTGGACGGACAAAAAGTGTCCACACTTGTCGCACCAAAACAATTCGTCGCCAAATCACGTCGCACGAATATGTACACCCCCCTTTCCCCCAACTCGAAGTTGGCGGGGTTAGGCGGCAGGCCGCGCGCCAGGGACAAAAAGTGGGCACTTCAACTTTGGGTTTTCGGGGGGAGGGTGCGAGGCAAGTGCATCATGCTGTTGCGGTTGCTATCACGTCGCAGTGTCTTGCCGCCCTGGGTGTGGACACTTGTTGTCCGGGCACCGTATATCGAAAGTTCCACTTTGACAACAGGCCGCCCTCCATCCTTGAAGCTGCTGCGGAGTTCCAGGGTTATGGTCGTAAGTGATGAGGAAGCCTCACGCGAAACGCATGGCCCAGCCTGCGGACACGTCTGGGGGTGCCAAGGGGGCATTTGGTCATCAGAAACGGGAGGAGTAGGAGGAGGGAGGAGGAGGGAGGAGGAGGAGGAGGGAGGAGGAGGAGAAGGAGGGAGAGTAAGAGGGGTGCGACGAGGACGGGCAGCGTGAGGGAGGGACGTGTTTAGGGGGGACGAATCGACTACCAATCGCCAATCGGTCGCCGATTGGAACTCGACAGGCACGATCCCCTACTGCCGATTCATTGGCGAGGCATCGCCGATTCCAGGTCCACGTTCCCCACTCCCCAAAGCCAGTACCTCCATTTCGTTCCCTCTTCAGTACGCAGGGTGGCGTCGTTGTCTCATGGGAGGAAGCGTCGGCGTAACCATGAATTTTCGGAGCATCGCGCTGCGCCTCTGGCAATGCCCCCGGTGCTCCCCGCGCGCCAGGGAGGGGAGGTACAGCACCGATGCACGACTCTTCGCGAACCTCGGGATTTGGCCCATCGGTCGTGAAAGAAGGTACTTTGGATCCCCATATTCCAATTTATGCGCCTTTCTATTTCCTTCACCGGGTTGCTTTGCCTACCATATCCCCTTCAGCTGGCGGGCAGAAGCCCAACCTACTTTCAACGCCTTTCTACCTCATTTTTTTTTTTTTTTTTTTTTTTTTTTTTTTTTTTTTTTTTTTTTTTTTTTTTTTTTTTTTTTTTTTTTTTTTTTTTATATATCAATCTCTTACGACAGGTGTGTAATGTTTATGCCGATGCTTCTGCATTCTCGTCAATGTCGAAAACGCCTGCGGCGAATCATCGCCGCCCCCTGCCTTTCTGTACTTTCATATGTGGCCGAAAGTTTGGCTAGAGCTTGGCCAAGATATCGGACCATGTGTTCCCCGAATCGGTTTGGAAACCTTTCGGGGGAACACTTGGGGGAGGAAGGGGAAGAGCAGGAGAGAGAGAGAGAGAGAGAAAGAGAACGAGAGAAAAAAAAAGGAAGGAAAGAAGGAGGAGGAACGCTCTTATGAGCCTCTTGGGGCGTTCCTGGGAGCCTCCTGGGAGACTCTTGGAAGCCTCCTGGGAGGTTATTTGGGCTTCTTGGGAGCTCTTGGGGCTTCTTGGGGGCCTCTCTCGCCGTCTTCGGAAGCTCCTGGCCCGTCTGACGCCGTCGGAAGCAGTCTTTGAGAGCCTCTCTGAACCGACTTGGGGCCCTCCTTGGGCGTTCCTGGGCGTCTTTTGAGGCCTCTTGGGGCGCTCTTGGGGTCGTCTTGGGGACCTCTTTGGCGGTCATGGGGTTTCATTGGGCGTCTGGGGCCATCTTGAGGCCACCTTTGGCCGTCTTGGGTGCATCTTGGGCCGTTTGGAGACATTTTGGGGCCATCTTGGGGTCTCTGGGGGCCATCGTGGGCGTCTTTGGAGGCCTCTTGAGTCGTTTTAGGGCCCTCCTGGGGTCGTCTTGGGGGCCTCTTGGGCGGTCATGGGGCTCATTGGGCGTCTGGGACCATCTTGAGGCCATCTTGGGCCGTCTTGGGTGCATCTTGGGCGAGGGATCTTGCCATCTTAGCCGTCTTGGAGGCCATACAGGCTGTCTTGGAGGCATCTTGGAGACCGTCTTGGAGGCCATCTAAAGCCGTCTTGGGAGGTTGTTGGGAGAATTGGGCGCCTTTCGGATGGCCTGCGCGCTGGGCCGAAACCCCAGGGGGAATTCGATCGAACACAATTAAAACCAAAAGCGGTAGGGTCTAGCACGCAAGGCACTCTTTTGATGAATCAACAGGGGCCTACTGCGAATCACCGCCGCCCTCTGCCTTTTTGGAAGCGCCTAGGTGGGCGAACGTTGAGGCCAGACCCGCCAATCTATCGGACCATGTGTTCGCCGAATCGGTTTGGAGAGCCTTCGGGGAACACGTGGGCATCTTGAAGGTCATCTTGGCCGCCGTGAGGCGGACGTCTTGGAGGGCTCTTGGGACGTCTTGGAGGCCATCTTGAGCGTCTTGGAGGCCTCTTGGGCCGTCTTGGGGGCCTCTGGGGGCCGTGTCTTGGGCCTCTTGGGCAATGTTTGAGGGCACTTGGGCCATCTCGGGCCGTCGGAAGGCAGAAACAAAAAGCAAATGCCACAATATTTCAAACACCTTAGGGAAATCGATGATTTTGGCCTTTTCGGGCCTTCCTGGAGGCTTTCTTGGAGGCCTCTTGGGCCGTCTTGGGCCATCTTGGGGCCATGTTCGGCCGTCTTGTTGGGCTCCTGGTCCGTCTGACGCCATCGGAAGCCGTTTGGTGGGCCTCTATGGGCCGACTTGGGGTCCTCTTGGTATGCTCCAGGGCCGTCTCGGAGGCCATCTTGGGCGTCTTAAAGGCCTCCTGGGCCGTCTTGGGGGCCTCTTGGGGCCGTCTTGGGGCCCTCTTGGGCCTTTCTGGGGCCATCTTGGAGGCCTCTTGGGCGATTTTTCGGCGATCTGTGGGGGTCTCTTGGGCCGTCTCGGGCCGCCAGAAGGCAGAACATAAGCAAATGTCAAAATCCGTAAAACGAAAAACAAACAAATCCTTAGGAACATCAGTGTTGTTGACCTCTTCTGGCCTTCCTGGAGGCCCTCTTGGGGGCCTCTTGGGCCGTCTTGGGCCAGCCAGCTTCGAGTCATCTTGGTGGTTTCCTGGCACGTCTGACGCCGTCGGGAGCCGTCTTGGGGGCCTTTCTGGGCCGACTTGGGGCCCTCTTGGGGCGCTTCGGGGCCGTCTTGGAGGCCATCTTGGCCGTCTTGGAGGCCATCTTGGTCGTCTTGGAGGCCTCTGAGGCCGTCTTGTGAGGCCCTCTTGGGGCCGTCTTGGAGGCCACTTGGGCCGTCACGGGGCCCTCTTGGGGGCCTCTTGGGGGCCTCTTGGGCGATCTTGGGCCGATTTTGGGAGCCTCTTGGGCCGTCTTGGGCCGTCGGAAAGCCGAAAAGGCGCAAATGTCAAAATCCTTCAAACACCTAAGGAAAAACAATGATTTTGGCCTCGTCGGGCCTCCCTGGAGGACCTCTTGGAGGCCTCTTGGGCCGTCTTGGAGGCCTCTTGGGGGCCTCTTGGGCCATCTTCAGGCTATCTTAGGCCGTCTAGGGTACATCTTGGGCCGTCTTGGAGGCATCTTGGGGCCATCTGAGCCGTCTCGGAGGCCATCTTGGCCGTCTTGGAGGCATCTTGGCCGTCTTGGAGGCCATCTTGGGGCCGTCTGGGGCAGGAAACCCGTTTGCAACCACCTCTTCCGGGACCCCAGCAGGACGGGCCGAAGCCCCAGGGGGAGTTCTTTTGGAAAAAGAACCAAAACCAAAAGCCATGTCGTTCGTCACGCCAGGCACCCGTGCGATGAATCGACAGGGGGCGGCGGATCTAAGACGCCTACGGCGAATCACCGCCGCCCCCTGCCTTTTTGGAAGCGCCTATGTGGCCGTACGTTGAGGCCAGACCTGCCAAGCTATCGGACCATGTGTTCGCCGAATCCGTTTGGAGAGCCTTCGGGGAACACGTGGGCATCTTGAAAGTCATCTTGGCCGCCTGGAGGCCATTTTGACCCTTTCGGGCCTTCTTGGAGGGCTCTTGGGACGTCTTGGAGACCATCTTGAGCGTCTTGGTCTTGGGCCGTCTTGGGGGCCTCTGGGGGCCGTCGTGGGCCTCTTGGGCGATCTTTAGGTGCACTTGGGCCGTCTGGGGCCGTCGGAAGGCAGAAAAAACAGCAAATGCCAC